TTGAAATTTATTAATTGGACTAGAAGTGACGATCCAATGAAATTAGAGTTGCAATCTCTTTCGAACTCTGTTTCTCTTCATTATTACAATTAATTGTGTCGCGTTCGTAGAATTTATGTGTGTGGCCCCCGCTTTTTTCTCTCGTTGACCGTGTTTACGAATCTCGCTTTCGGTTCAATAAAATTTTGCTCGACTCGCGAGCGCACCGCGAACGAACGAACGATCATCGCTGGCTCCAAACATCCGGACGAACTCTGTAGCCCGGGAGCGTTCCAGCATCACGGATACGGCGGACTCGCAGCGGTCCACTTTGCCGTTCCCTTCTAGGGAGAAGGACGAGGGGGGGAGGGGAACACAGGGGTGAGGGCAATCGGTCACTGATTTGGTCAGATCCATAAGGAGCGTGCATAGCAAGGCGCATTAATGACCCGACAAGCATTCCTTGCCCAGATGCCCGTTCCTCCCCTCCTCCATCGCAATCTGTCTCTCTTTCTCTCCCGTTTGGTTTCCCATCGGCGATCTCTTTCTCCCTGTCTCTCTCTCTTTGTCGCATTCGCTCCCGCTTTCCTCTCTCTCTCCACCCTCTCACCAGAAGTCTCGCGCGATCGCGTTGGGTGGTCTCTCTACTCTTACCGACTCTCCGATCCCATATAGCCGAGAGAGACGTGCACACGTTCTACCGTGTTCGGAGCCCGACGACGACGACGACGACGACGACGGCGATGACGACGATGGCAAACCGAAAGCAAACCTTTATGCCCTTATACACGCGCGTTCACGCACGAGAAAACGCGTGCGCGTGGGAGGCCCGTAAGGAAACTGCGAGCGTGTTGCGCAAACCGGAAAAGGAAAGAGGAAGCAATGCCTTGTCTAACGTTCGATTTGTTCTGTCGGATAGGCCGAAGGAGCATTGAAACGTCGCGCTAACGAGCGGCAGGTTTTTGCGAGCTATAATTTCGCGTGTCATTGAATTCCAGATAATCTCGCACACAATTACTGAAAAACATTTAACAAACATTAAAAGATCTAATCAATGAAGAGAACAAATTTTATGATTATAAAATTGATTTATATTCAATTACAATTGTGTCCTGCAATGTTGTTTGTTTTTGCTCTCATCTATTTGTACTTATATCCACGAGTGGAGAGAGAAAAAGTCAATTTCCTACACAGTAGCTGTACCGCCACCTGTAATAAAGGCGTATCTATCCATTGTTACGAGCGTGATAACCTCGCCGCTCGTTGCCGAGTCCTTGCATTTCGCACCTCGTCCTTTCGACTCGCCTTCCACCTCCTGTGATTATCTACATACCGCGTCGAATCGGTTCGATTTGGTGATCTCGAACGATGCATTACGACTTTTCTCACGTACATTTATCGATGTGCACGGCTCGCTGACGATTTCTTGAATTCTATTTTCTTCTGTGCGCCTCGGGCGCATTACAAACTGGTGGATCGAGTTATTTGCTACCGAGAAATTTATTGTCATCATTTTTTTGCAATTAAATCTAATTTTTTTTATAAATTCCGAATAACTTTTGAGTAATTTAGCTGATAAAGTCTTGAACTTTATGTAAATTTGTGCATGATGAAACATGATTGATTGTTCCGGTCATGCAAAATAGAGTTATAAGAGCGTTGCGGAATATTTTATATTAACGGATAACATGTTGCAACTATACGACGATCGAGGTACACAATTTCTATTTCCCTCGCGCTGTCATCATTATCATTATCTTCATTGCCTCCTCGCAACGCGTTCGTAACCAATTTGTTGACGAATAATTCTCCGCGGCGCGCGCTAACGGTCCGCGATAAATTCGCGGACATCTCTAACAAATCGCTCTCGAATATCTCGAAGTTGAAAACGCGACCGGGTCGCGATCCGTGTCGCGCCGGTTCGAATCTCGTCGCGTCATTCGCGAAAATAGTCGGCTGTTTCTCTCGAGTCTCTATCTTCGCACGCAGTATTACACGCGGATTTTCGTCGCGGACATCTCTCGCGCGCGAGCTCGCTATTTCAGCTCGTTAGGATAACGAGGATCTAATGTCGCGTTCGCGGCCTGGCCAATTACGCGGTTACGGATCGAGACACACGTCTTTCGGCGCATCCGCGGCTGCGGATTCGAGAAAGAGAAAGAGAGAGAGAGAGAGAGAGAAAGAACAGGTTCAAAGAGGCGCGGCCTTATTAGCCGGAATTTATATCGCGTTTGAATTTTTCTACTTCCGTCGTTTTCTTGTAGTTTTGCGACGTTACGCCTGACGTAAACATCTGTTGTCGCATCGTTTCTCTCACGGACGATTTACATCGATTACGAGGATCGACTTACCGTCGCAGGCAAACGTTTGATCTTTGTCTAATGTATCTTTAGCGTTTTGGTTTCAACATGTGATGTTACTATATGTGTTGTGGATATCAAAAATGTATCAAATTCTCCGTATTATTACAGAGAATAATTTAAAGCAAACAAATGTATCCTCTCGCTCGATTCGCGAATCCATTAAACCTCGCAATTCACACATCGTCAGTACCGCGAGAGAAGGAGAAGATTGCGTGCAAATTCGCCGCGATTTATCGTCTGAGATATCTTTCACGACCGCAAAAGGGCGTTAATCGCGCGGCGAGCGAGTAGCCCGGAGTTTCTTGTAGCATTTCAAGAGTGGTCCTTTAAGGACCGTGCGAGAAATGAGAAAGAGAGAGAGCTCCACCTCGCGCGCGAAGTGATCTATTGGCAAAGCATCTGGTCGTGCGTCGTCATAGGGACGACGCATTTACGGGCAGCTAAGTGGCCTTTACCCGACTTTGATTCCCGAAAGCGCGACAATAAATTTTGGTTCGCCGCTCGTGCCGCGCCATCCGCCTTTAATTTGACGGGCCGGAACCTCGTTACACTCGTTAGCGACGAGAGCGAAAAGAGACGAAAACGCGACCGAGGGAAAAGCGCGGCTGATCTTTTTTCGAAATACCGAGAAAAGTCTTTTAAGGATGGGACAATCGTTTTCAGTCACGCGTCGCAAGAATTATTATCTTCTGCCGAATAGTATACGTGCGGTAAATACAAGCGCCTACTGGTACTATTTGTATACATCTAAATATAATTTACCAATTTACCAATGTACCAACGTTTCATGAAGTATCCGCGCTCTCTGGAAGATAAAATTGAACCTTAGCGTAGTAATTGCGAGGATTAACGATTCGTCTGGGCCGTGTAAACTCTCCACGTATATTTCTGAGCGTGCAATTAACAGCGGAGTATAACCCCCGAAAACTAGTTCGTCGCGTAACGCGCGAATTCACGCGAAACTCGGCACTGCCGCAGCGGCTGATATTGTAATAGACGGTGCGCGCGAGGCACCGCAGCCATTAATTCTACGTGGATCGCAAGGCGGTGGTCCGCGGGGGCATAAGAAGGCAAAATTTAGTGAGCCACTGGCGGGAACGTACAGACCCCTAATGGCCATTCCGATGACTATGGTTCTCGACCACAGTGGCAACCCCCTTTCGGCCCCCAGGTCCTCTTTCTCTCTCTCTCTCTCTCTCTCTCGACAAGCATAGTCCCTCACACCGTGTGTTCCCTTCTACGTTCTAACTCGTTCTCCACCCTGCCGCCCTCCTACGTCGCTCCTTCTCGCTTCCTACAACGGCCGCTCTCACGCAACCCTCTTCCTTCCACCCGCGTATGCAACGGCGTTCCAGCAATTACGCATCGCCGCAGTTAAATACAATGGCCAGGACAACGACTCTGTAATTTATCCCCGGTTCGGGCCACCATCCATGCGTTTGTTTCCAACGACGGCGGAGGTCCTTCTGCGCGCGCGTTCCGCGACCATTCGACCCCCATCCAATGTGTTTGCCACCGTTTAAAATTAATGATAAGTAATAATGTCGGTTGGCACGCCGGATGTTCTCTTGGCTGGCCGTGAAATATGGATCTGTTGATTATCAGCAAATTGTTAAAAAGCACGCCCACGTGTACGTCCCTTCGGTCCCTTCCTCATCTCGGTGAACGCCGATAGCTTTACTACTATGCTCGATGCTCGGATAAAAAAAAAAAAAAACGCTCGTAAATCCGATTGCGCGCTTCTGACCACCTGAGCGCGTACGTGCACGCGCCGTATCATCTAACAGGTGCGCGTTTACGTCGCTTATCTCGTTTTGATCATTATCAGTTCGCGTGTTACCCACGCTCGAACTGGTAGTAACAAATTGCATTTTCGTTAGACACTTTTAAGTCAAAGTTAGTTAGTCACTTGACGATTTTGTTGTCATTGTTATTTTATTTAATTAATATTAAAAAATATAGACGCCACACTTGAAACATCTGGACTTTAACGCGTATGGATGCGGCACGTCGATAAATCTCAATAATCCCATCGTGTTAAAGAAAACAAAGTCAATCTCTGAGTAGTGAGAGATCGTGTGTCACATCGGCCAGACTTCCACTTGAGAATCTCGTCGTTACGTCCTCCGGTCGCGCTCGAGATACCCCGGACAGAGCTCGTTAGTTCGAGATCAATTAGCGCATCGTGACGCGCAGCCAAAATCGGGAGGGGGAAAAACTCGCTTTGAGAGTTTTCTCGGTGAAACAGAATACGCCTTTCCAAAACAAAAACAAAAAAAGAAAAACACGACTTTGTCGCGTGCGCAAAGAACATTAGAAACGTTGATGTGGCAACGATGCTAATTAGCGCAGGGATAATTGTACAGTTGAGTGCTCACACACCGCAAATGCAGCATCCCAGCGGAATAATTGCTGAACGTTTAATTGGTAATCGAGCTATTACGTCGTTTATTGCATTTAAATGTCTGTTGACTCACATGCAAACGTGATACTCGTAGGAACGCGTTTCTATAGAAGTGATCACGTCGATCATCGTCTAATGTTATTATCGCGCGAGAAATATATATATATATATATATATTTCCCGATGTGATTAGACGACGTTGATTAGATTAATACTATATGAGTATGGGAGATAAGAAAAAGAAAAACATTGCGTGTGTAGAAGAAAGAAGTTTTCTTTGTTTACTTTTATAATCGGCAAAAACTGTAATAAGCAGAGATTACACGGAATAATATAATCACTTATTGCGGAAAACGCTGCAATGTATATACGCGCTTACATACGTGCTTTTTTTTATGGCAATCTATGATTTCTGTATAACGTATGTTTTCTATATCTAGTTTCGCGCATACGAGAAATATACAATGTAAGAGATCATTCCATCGTACAAGTAACCTGCCCTCCTCTCGACTAATCTTACACATATGCACACTCTATCGCTGTATTTACAGATTATGTACAACAAAATAAATAATTTAATTGAGAGGAGATTTTACAGAGATGGTATACGCGTTAGGTAAATCAAATAAATGTGCAAATCTCAGTCAACGCACGATATATTCTCGAAAAAAAAAAACAAGTTCGCGAATAAGTTTTTTTGCGATTGTACGCTAATAGTTCGGAAGTGCGTTACGTGACCAGATAAGAAAAGAATTACAACTTAATAATACCCTATAAGCAAGTACTTCTGTTTTCGAGATAGTAGTAATAAATAACGTTTATCGCATAATCTCTAGAAAAACTATTGAATAACATGAACACTAACACATCACTTAGCGTAGCTTTTTCACACGCGGACTTGTTTTTTCAACTAATCTACTAATTTGACCACAGAACCGATTGGGAAACAAAAGTTTACGCGATTCTCAACAAATACCTATAATTTTTCTTACACGCGTAAAATTACATCGATACAGGCATTCCTTCAATTTTGTTTTTACATATTATTAATATTTGCAAAGAATATAGATCGGCTTAATACGTATGTATCTGTCTAATTCTTAAATTTATATAACACACTTTGATTGCACTTAGGAAATTACATTCCGTTTCACACCTTCAGTCTTCAACTGTCGATCATCTGATGATGATAATTAAACTCGAAATCTTCTTATAAATAATATAACATTTAATTCTATCTTTATTATATCGCAGTGCTCAACACTAGCAACAAGTTTTTCTGAAAGACTACCACCGGGAGAGAATAGCGGAAGAAACACGTCTCAGTTTTCGACTCTTTATCGCTCCCACTTGAATTAACGCGAGTTTAATGATTTCTTCCGGTTACGATCTCCTCGCCGTCCTCGTCCACCGGCACGGTGGAATGATTGTAAAGACCTTGCGCCATCAATTGAAGAGCCAGAGGATTTTTCTGTCCGCTCGCCTTCTTGATCTTTGCCCGCTTGTTCTGAAACCAGATCTTGATCTGCGCCTCGTTTAGACCTAAATCTCTCGAGAGCTGCTGCCGTCTTCTCTCCGTCAAGTATCGATTCTCCGAGAATTCTCGCTTCAACCTGGCAAGCTGCTCCGCGCTGAATGCCGTTCTGGGTCTCTTCTCTTCCGGAGAGTTGTTCTTCCCGTTCTGCGAACGTTTCACTCTCCTTGTGCGCGGTCCTGAAAACGACAAAGAAACTTCGCATTAATCTTCATGCTTTGGCTTTTGTGACTTGGATTCGAGGCGTCGAGGGGGTACAGTGGGAGTATTATCGCGGGGAAAGTGGGCGTTCTCATCAATTTGTCCACCGTCGTGATTCAGCGTTCTCGCGACAACGACGACGAGAGCGCGAGGTGTATTCCGTTCGCTCGCTCACTCTCACACACACGCACTCTCTTTCTCTCTCTCTTTCTTCCTCTTGGGAGCAAGGACACTTGGGGATAACTATATCTGAGCAATCGCTTCGGAATTCAGCAAAGGCGGAAATAGTTTGACTAACGATCAAGCATGACACAGGCATACGATAAAATTTTTTCAAATATGCAAATTGCTATTTTATAGAATTCGTTGAATCTCGTCGAGTCCAGAGCTTCATCATCAGCTCGCGAATTAAATTTTCTTTATTTCGCTCGTGACCGATTGATTCGATTTATTTCATTTATGCAGATTTTAATTGACATCGCGAAGACACGAGGTTCAAGTAACGCGCGTGTTTTATTAGTTTTGCGATAACGAGCGGAACTTACTTGTGGCAAAGCGTGCATTTAAGTGCGATAAGCGAGTGCTACTATCACCGTTGTACCGCACCTCGTCGAAAGTAACGTTCATTGGCGAGGTCTTGGTCATTAGCATTACACGCTTTCGATTTTTGCTTAACTATGTAGATAACGAGACCGTGTAGTGTGTCGGAACACATCCGCGTGTTTGCATTTGCGCGCGGTGTGGTTATCGTCAATGTTATTATTATCATCTTCGAAGGAACCGTTAGAGTGTGCGCGCGATCATTTCAGCCGTTTACAATTTAAAGTACACGATATATGCAGTAATCATTATTGACAATATGTAAAGTGCATATAATTATCCTCTCATTACTACGTGGCTTTCGAGTCGCGCATTCTCGTTTATTTTTCGTACTCTCAAACCAGACGTATCAATTATTTTAAATCAAGATTCTTAATGTTGCCAATATTATTACTGCTTTAAAAACGCGGTATGTTAATTTTGGAAAGAAATTACAACCATGTTCTTTTTGCGTAATTGAAATTGGAATAATTACAAACAACGCGATACAACAATTGGATTAAATTATTTGAAGAAACGGTTGCGCAAAGAAGAGCGATTTACTAAGTGTAAAACAATTAAACCAATGCTGAATCCATTCTCGGAGATTGACGCTCCAGGACGATGAAGAAGCCCGCGTAAAAGTTAAGCGAGCGCTTCTCGGCAATTAGCAACGCGATTATCGGATCAAAACTCGCGGACCACCCCGATGCGCAGCGGTCTAGGAAATCACTGGCTGATACCCACCTGTGTGTGTATATGTGTTTGTATGAGAAAGAAAGAGAAAGAAGCAGAAGACAACGGAAGGAAACGATGAAGAAAGAGAGAGTGACAGAACCGTATGTGGGACACTGATTGCAGAGGGGTAGTACGCCAATGTAGGTCCTGCGCAATTAAGTTCTGCGAACGAGCACAGGTGGTATCGAACCTCGTACGTTAACCTCGCCTAGCTATTTGCAATTACACAGATATAACGTATTGGCTCGCAATCTCCTTTCGCGAACAACGTTCGAAAATTCTTCTTCTACAAAGATAATAATCTCGCGAGTGACGAGATAGATCATCAAGCATATATGTCAGCCGCACAACGTGTATAATTTATTTGTGGAGCGAACGATTATCCAATGAGAACGCGTAATTAGACACTCGAGAGGTAAAGATCGACGTCATTTGTCGGCAAAGGCGTCGCTCGGTAATCACGATTTGTCCGCGCGAGTTGCACGCTGTTGGCGCTGTTGGCGCGAGCGATTAATCATTTAAATAAGTTTATCGAATATACGAGCGCGAACGGTGTAATCGCGTATATACACACGTTTCGCGTATCATTAGGCATCGTGTTGTTCGGATGTCACGCCTCGTGCGAGTTCTTGTTTGATCGAATAAAGTCACCTGAAGAGAGAGACTGTGCGATTAGATTCGGAAGGGCTGAAAATATATGTAAAAAGTAACGATTAACCTAAGACCGTGGCTAATCGCGCGAAAACGCGCGGGACGACGTTTTTTTTCTCTGATCTGTAGCTTTCAGGTGCAAAATCCTGATGATAACATCGGATGTAAGTCACGTGTGTTTTGTTCACCCTCTGAATAGATTTTTAATTATCTTCGTGCGTCGCATATATAATTTTTCAAGCTCTTTGATAAGGAATTTTAATTAGCGCTTCGATCATGATTTTGTAACCGCATAGAGCGCATAAGTGAACAAAACATCTTGATAGACATTTCCGACATTATAACCACGCGAGTTCTTCTTGCATGTGCAAAGTTGAACGCAAGTCACGTACTGCGCTCAGAGAAAAATCTGATAAATTTCTAACTTGTTTGCTTTTTAACGTAGATTATTAGACGTTGCCAATGAAATAGAAAGCGCGAAATTGATAACCGTACGAAGCAACACGTTGCAAAACGGTCTAGAGTTAAAATCTATTTTTAGGCGCGATTTTTCTCGCTTTATTTTACTTTTATTATATATATATATATATACTTTATTATAAAAAATAACTAATTGCGTTTATACGCAAATTTTTTTTAACATATTATGAAAACTTTCTCTTAACATATTTCGAAAAAAGATGAGAAAACAAGATTATATTTTAAAAGAAAGATAATATTTTAAAATTTTACCTGAAGAAGGTCGATCTGAATATCTGGTGCAGTATACCCACGCGGGCCATAGACTTTGTTGACCACTAGTGCCGCTTTGTTGACCTGCCGAAGTGCTACCGGCACCAGCGGGTGTGCTGCTTTCATTGTTCAAAGAATCGCCGTTGACCGTGAATGAAGTCGAACATAAGGGAGGTGTGTTAGTAACGGAACTGTTGGTGGCCGTGCTCCTGGTGGATGCTAGGCTTTCTAAACTTCCGCTCCTGCTCAGTCCGTTGTGTCTTTGCACAGGTGACGCTACACTGCTGTGTGACGAGAAAGTGTCTCTTTCTCTGTGGATCGAATAATTCGTTGACGATGGTGAAGAGGGCGATAGTCGCGTGGACGACAGACTGAGATCGCGGGGAAGTGAAAGCGGACTGTGTTGCGGAGGCTGCACCGCAATATTGCCAATAAAACCGGACAGTGGAGATTGTTTCGCAGCTTTTGTGCTGAGAACAGCTTTGCGTCCAAAATCCGGTCTGAGAATGTCGACGACACTGAAAGCCGACAACCGAGGCTCTTGCTGGTGATCCGGCTGATGATCTTGATGCGCCACTACGTGACTCTCCGGCGATAGCATGCTGTGATGGAGATGAGAGTGGCTAGTGACACCCAATCGCATCGAAACACCGTACGCGGAATCCATAGTCACAAGAGCTACGCTCATTTTTTGTGTGAAAGTGTTTTCATTCAGTGAGACAAAGATGACGTTATTAGTGATGTTAATCCCTCGTGGCCATATTGAAAATGGAGCACATGTCCACTATCCACTGTTGTCAATAAAAGCTGTCTTTATCGAAATCAGTGTATCAATGATCTATCAGAGGCACGTATCAAATCTCTAAATCATTGACAACAAATGTAAGTCTTGCTAGTAAACACTACATTCACGTGTCACCAATATGTCGAATACATCGTTCATATCGTTATCTTCACCGCGAATCACGATCTTCGCGATAGCACGATCTCGTCTTGTTGTTGTACACTGTCCAATTAACTTTTGAAAATCGTTGAATCCATCGTGATCGTCTCGAACGATCATAACGTATCGTGAAAACGCTCTTAGAAATGTTCATGTGCCCGGTATATTAGTGGAGTGCTAATTATTGGCTCTTCTTTGGAGCCGCTCCAAAGCCAAGGACTCCTTCCCGGCTTTTCCCGTGGTTTCCGAGTACTCCGACGAGTGCTGTGACGGGTCTGACTGGCTGTCCATCCGTCGCTCAGTGATGTCTAAACTAGAGGACCCGGGGTCCCTACTTACCGCCTGTCCCTCCTCACCCCTGGTCCCTTCACTCCTCCTACGCCGCAGTCCGAAGTGCAGTGCACTAGACACCCTCGATTGTATCTCTATTAACTCTTCGGTCAAAAGCTCCGCCCACTGGCGTAAGGTGTACCGTACTCCCTTCCGCCTGTCGTCATCCCCACCTCCAATGGTACGGGTAGTAGGGGGCTACGCTTGTAAATTTCCTGCTGGATCAATGTTACGCTTTCCCTATTTGCGACGAGATTTGTTTCTCCACTTCTGTTTCTTTAACAAAGTTGGTCAACGATTAAACAAAAAGATTTACCTTTTTTTTTATTGATTATGCTTTAAATATTCCATTTTCAAATTAATGTTAAATATGCACAAGTTTTATATGTAGATATTAGAAAAACTGTTATTATATATATGTTGTAATGTGTTATTTATTTTTATATTATTAATTTAAGCACAAAAATGCATATGTGTTTATGTTAACGAAAAAATATTCAGTTTTTATAAAACCATAATATATGACTATTTTTGATATTAAAAGAAATCGTCAAATTTATCTACTTATTTATTATACAGTAAATTAAAAGATATGTATATAAAAAAATACACAACTACGTACATATCAAGTAATATAATATTTTATAAGATAAATAATAAGAAATTAAAGTAAACTTTTATTTACGAAACTCTTGTACAAAAATACACAAATTGAACTTTGCCACATTCTATATAAAATTTTGTTTACACAGATTTTCATGGTTCATTTAATATAGTTTATTCTGAATACACAGATATCCGCGCCACTGTGAACAATAATGAGGATACCCACTTCTCTCCGCCCCATTTGAGTTCTCCCCACTACGTAACCGGTTCTCGGATGTCGCCCACGTTCTTGCCCCTCCCTACTACGCCACGCCTACTCTACCATCCCTCCCATTGTGCTCTACCCACTACTCCATACTTTTGTTCCTCCCCACCGTGGCAGTGTTGTCGACCCGATCAGGTTGAAGCCGGCTAATTCGTTCTTTCAAGCCGAAGAGCGTTTTCTCTCTCTCTTCTCTCCCTTGTTCTCATCCCTTCATCTCAATACGACGTGGATTTTATCGTCGCCGTCGAAATCGCTTCATACAAAAATTTGCACGAACACCATCAGCCATGTGATCCTCTTTTATTCTCTTTTTTTTCTGGTCCCGACGGCTTTGCGACGGTTAACGAACAAATGTATTACTCACCCCACAGCAGATGCTGTTCTTCTCTTTGCTTCTTTTCCTCTCCCTCTCTCTCTCTCTCTCTCTCTCTCTCTCTCTCTTTCTTTCTCTCATTCTATATTATCTATGTATTTAGTTCTTTTCTTTTGCTTTTACATCTCATCGTGACTTATTCCTAGATCACTTTATCGTACTGATGTTTCAATGACGACTATGGAAAGTGAGAATAACTTGACCGAGTTTTTTTATTTATTCTTTGTATGCAGCTGTGTAATATATTTTCCTTGATCAATGTAATGTAAATCTTAACTAGCATTACGTTTATTAATGCAGAGAATATCTTGACAATATTTTTTAAATTAATACAACTACATAAGATCTTGAAATATCCACTTTAAGTATTTTTACGCATAAACGTTAATTTTTTGAAGATGAAACAAGCATCGTTTTTTTTCTCTCTCTCTTTCTTTTTTCAGTTCTTAATCAAACTGTTTTCAAGGGTTGTAATTTTTTTCTCGTTTGCACTCTTGTGTACAATAAAAAAAAAAAAACAGATTAGATCGGAATCAGAAATTTTTTGCTCTTCAAGCAGTGTTTCTTGCTCGTACATCATCACGTGGAATGGTGATGACGATACACTAGCCTGTTAATCAACAGAACCAAAATTACGGCCATTAACTCTTTAACGTTTAATCTCGTATGGGATGCTCTTCTTCCGTCGAAGCGTTATTCGGTCCTGACATGAAACACAGCACAGGCTACGCATTAGAAGCACGCGAGACGTGTAAGGACTCGTAGTTAAAACGGTTGCAATTAAAGCTCGCAACGAAATCCACCTCATGATGTGGAGGTCGCACGCGATAAGTCAGGTGTTTCGCGCGATAATTGACAGAGATACTCGACTTCTCGTTCACGCCTAAGAGAACACGACGCGTACAGTGTGAAGTGCATGACACTTCAAGAAATTATCGTAGATTTCGAAGTATTTCATTAAAAAGTCAATTTACAAAATTCAGTTTATGAAATTGCATAGAAACATATATCATGTATCTAAAATCTAAAAAAGTAAAGATGTATTTACAATATATTCGTATAAAAAAATTTAACAATATTTTATCGCTGATGTCACACTACAAAATAAGCGTGTTAAAAAAATATGGAACTGCTTATGTTAAATTGTATGTGAAACGATTGAATTTCGATAAAAAAAATCTTATCCGATGCAGCAAAAGATATCTATCTAATGAGAACTGCGAGATGATTTAAGAGGTAATTCATCATTTTTTTTAAATTCAAGGCGCCAGGAAAGTAATTAGCTTTAACTGACTGTCTTGCCAAGTGTGTCGGGTTAATAAGCTCATTAACGTTATTTGATAGAATAACATGCAGCAAAAAGTAAGAGCGTGTATGTAATTAACTTCGTGCATTGAAATTGGCTATCAAATGAAAGTTATGGCATACTCGCGCTCGACACAAATCAACATTTTTATCAGTTGAGCATCGCCTCGCCTTACGTGGAACTACATAAATTGCGAAGGCTTACATTTTTTTGTACGCCAATTATTGTTCATATCGATGACCTTCGTAGATCGAATAATATGCCACAATTTAGCGGCTACCGGTTTCTCTGTTATTAACGATGTTGTTTATAGCTCTCTCTCATTAACATACTGTTGATCTTATTTAATTACTCTCGGTGTTGATCGCCCGATAGTTTTGCAATAATTAATCCTCTGTGCGTTTATATGCGTGTACGCATATATACATATATTGATACGCCAGTTACCACGTAACACAATAGTCGTTCATCAGACGTTGAATTAAAATAGATGTTAGATACGGCTATTTATTAACATATACATTTCGTTATTATGCAAAAAAAGATACAAATACTCTAATGTGGATAATTTATGTAATAATTTATGAACTATACGCATTATATGCTCCTATATATGTTGTTTTTAATTTATTATTTAATTTATTTTCGTTTACATATCAGCCTCGAAGAAATGATATGAGATTATTTTTTCAATATATTATACGGTGCGCTTGAAAATAAGAGAAAATAGCAATTTTGTCTCTTGCAAAAGTAACGAACAGTATAGAATGAAACGTGTAATCTTCTGTAATTATTGTCTATCTATATCGCTGTGGACTATTGACACAGTTATATGTCCGAAGTCTTTTTATACTTATCTCTCAAAGTAGAACATCTTCAGCCGACACAATGTAGACAATAATATCGGTGAATTGCGACCATTGTTTTACCGCACTTATTCCGTTCCGAAGAACCGATTCCAGGAAAAAGTATACAATTCTCTGTGACGGAAGCACAAACGGCTTCGTAAAGCAGGTAATTTTTAACGCGCGCTTCGAAGTCTCTGACAATCGATGCTCGGTTTCTGTCGGCTCTTTTGCGCGACAAAAAGCGATTTCTTTGTTTCCCTTGTCGTGAACTCTCGCGAAGAAACGCGTAAGATACTCTGTTACAGCTGGCAGTTTTATTAATGGCCACACCTATAAAGACACCAGCTGCCACGTGAGCCGCAGGCGATTCAGAGCGATCATTAGCCGCGAGGTCGCTTCATGTAAGAGAGACAATAATAGAGATACCAACTATAAATAACTATACAACGTGTCCATCTATCAATAGCGTCTCGCAGGCTGAGTTACGTTCCACGAGAATTTCTATATGGAATTATCAGACCGTGTGATCGTTCGTGGATCGATCGTGTTTCGGACTGAAAACAACATCAAAAGGCACGCTTCTATTTCACTATTCAGAAAATATTTTACTATTCATTATCTAACTGTTAGGAATTTTGTTTATTATTATTTGTACGCTATGTATTATTCAATCAGAAAAGAAATACTATTCTCGAGACAGCACAATCAGCAGCGGTTAAGAAATTATTACAAATCTTTCTATATTTTTTTCAAAGGCACTAGCTTTTCGCTCGTTATATATACATTGAAGCTCGTTATACACACATTGGAACAAATCACCGAAATACGAGCTACCTTAATCTCCTCGTTAGAACGCGCAAAGCCGTGAGCGGAGTCTCCGCGAGATCTCCCGAGAGAAAATCGCCTATGGCGAGACCAATCGCCGCTCTGGGACGTCAGGGATTGATTGGGTTTTTCGTCTCGCGAGAGTATCCCCCCAAAAGCAAGCAACGAGATACGCGGGCCCTAGCACACGGCGATCATTATTCCCCGAGCACGATTTGTAAACGGGTTCTATTTATGGCACTGCAAACTCTATAATCAGCCGCCGCAGGGGCGACGACTTATTTAGAATAATTAATGCGGGTACGACCTCGTGAACCGGTCGGTGACCAATCGCCGCGACGCACATCCCACTCCGCACACGACGGAGGGGAAGTAGTGGGCGCGGCCAGACGCGTACGACCGCCCACAGCAGAGCCTCACATGCAACCTCGCGTGCTATCACGGGGGGGAGAAACTCTAACCCCTGCGGCTCCCCTCTTCTTTCATTGCGACTACGTCTACCGCTCTGTGTTTTTTTCGCAGTTGGACGATCTTTTCTGGAGCAACGCTGGATCCTGCGCGTAATCATGTGGGTAAGAGAGAGAATATTGCATTAAAAGCTGATTTTTCGTCTCCACTTGTGCTACGTAAGCTTATGTTTTTAATTATTGTTGTGTTAAGACTAAGAGATTAAAAAATATATACCGTATCTTTACTGTTGTAAGAATTCAATTGCTAAATTATCGAGTAAGTACACCTTTGTTGCTGATTACAATCGTCGAGTATGAAACTCCATTTGAATTGTCTGTATTGTTTGCATACA